TCGTTATTTCTCCTTAAAATAGATTATGATTTTTCGTTCAAAAGAAACACATGCGGGATAATTTTCAAACGTCGTTCTACAATCATAAGCCGCATTATATTGTATTATATATTTATGTATCAAATAATTGAACTATGGACATCAATTTTGAGGACAGTAGAAATACATACAATTATATAAATATATAACATACTTTGTAGATTGTTCTTCTGCAAACAGCCAATAAGAGTATTTTTAAAACATAATATCAATATTGTCAAGTAGCTCTGCAACTCCGGTCACAAGAAGCTCCATGGGACATCTGTCAATCATCCCTAGTGTGAGGGGTTCTCGGAATCTTATCGGCAAATAAGGAAAACGGGACGCCTCGGTGGCTGACCACTCTCTTTATTATTATCTTTACCTGGGGATAAGTTGTTTTATTATCTGACTCTTTCTCCCTATAAATACCTCTTGTATGTAATTTTATTGGAGAACTAAAAGGTAAATACCCTTTATAATAAATTAATTTGCCCCATATTCGCCCTTGCTTTATTTATCTCCGCGATAACATAATGCATTAACATGTCATTAGTTATAAGAATGTTTTTATAACAGATGACGCTCTAATGTATGATATTAATGTTACTTAATGATTATGTGTTTTATATTCAATATACAGTATAACCTCCCTGTGAAGAACAACACCTAATTACAGAGCCAAAGTGTCCTTTAGAAAGAGGTGTCCTCTTACCGGAGAGTTGCGAAATAGTAAAAATGGTAATTTTGCAAATGTGAAAACTGTTCTTTGTAGAGAGGGGTCCGCTAAAGGGAGGTTCTACTGTATATGTAATTTACGCTCACTATGTATCTTATGTACAATGTCTATGTAATACATGTGCAATATGTGTGCTTTATACTCTCCGTATATGTAATTTATGGTATACCATATTAATTATTAACGCTACCATCAAAATACATTCCCCTTCTATCTTAAAAACTCTAAAAGACATATAAAGCAATATTCATTTCATTTTTTTTCTATTCATTAACCTGCTCATAGTTAATTCTTCAAATTTATTCAATTATTTATGAAAAATACATCTCCTTATTGTGCAACTGAAAGTTGCTGATGGCTTATTAAATTATGTAAATTCTTTTTAACAAATTTTATGTCCTATATTTACATAGATTCCTCTTTAAAAATGCTATATAATCTTTCTCCATTGCCTTGTTTATACGTTTTAGTTTAGCTGAAGAAGGGTTTACCCGAAAGTTTCTTTTGATCAGGTGAATAAAATAAAAAAAAGTTGCGAGGCGTTATATGATTCAACGAGAATAGTTGATATTTATTCCGATAGATGGCGCAAGCCATCAGCAACTTTCAGTTGCATGATAAGTAGATGCCTTTTTCATAAGTTATATGGCTTGTTGTAAACTATACTATCTTTTAAAGGTGACAATATTCGAGACAAATAAATTCGGCACCGAATGTACAACACGGCATGTATAATGTGTTGTAAGAAAAAATCCTGTGAACACAGAAAATATTCAATAGAGAGTCAGACAATAATGTCATTTGTCGTGACAACTGGACAGTGATTATATAGACAGTAATTTAATAAAGGAAACGGCAATATATCATTATATAAGATATTATTATATTGTATTCTAATGTATATATTTTATATTTATATATTGTCTTTTCCTATTATATCTCCTTTCTCTTTTATATCAACATGGTAATGATCTGTTCCGAAAGTTTTTGTTTTGCCTATATATAAAATGATATAGTATTACATTAAAAGATATTTACCTTTCTTCTGGCTATTATATATATATATAATATATATTTATATATAATAACGCGTCATCTATATATAACGAAATGAAGACATTAAGACGTGAATGTTTCTTTTCACAAATAAATCAAACTTCTACTATTCTTACTGCGATGAAAAATATTGGGAGGGCTTGGATCATCAGTGGTGAACCTGTCAAATTATATTGACAAACATTTTTACTTTTGTCCTATCTCAGGTTTTAGTGGGAAGAATGTTGTTTTTGTTTGTTAGTGAACCAATCTCTCCCACCTTCTCATTGGACGAATGTGGCCATGTTTGTATATAAAGGGGGGCTATGTTATTGCGAAGTTCTTAATCTGGATAATGCATTGCTGAAATAAATTGAAAAAATATATAATTATTTTAGTAAATATATGATTGTTTACTATTTTTTTAAGACTTGAATGGGAGTTTTGAACCCAAGGTGTTTAGACATGAAAAATTATTCAGAGTGAAAATATACAAGACCCAACCAAACATTATATAGAGTTTCTAGAAAAAACAACAAAACATAAGTAAATAAATACAAATGTTGATTGAAACCCGATCTTTTTACAAAGAAATTAGGTGATAATAAATTTTAAAAAATCATTAATAAAATTCGATATATATTTTATAATCTTATTTACTTCATGAAAAAATAGTGAAATTATAATGGGATCAGGTGGATAAATTAACTAACACAGGATATTTCTTTTTTCTTAAAACTTATTCATCTAAAAATAGTATTAAAATAAAATTTAAAAAATAAAAATGTGTTTTATAGGTTTCTTGAAAGTTGATAAGGTATTTAAATATATTATAAAATAAATAAAGCTTCCAGGGTTAAGTTTCTTGTTCAAATTTTTATTTTCAAGCTTTCGGACTTGTCAGTCCTTTAACAGGAGTATCACGATATTAAATTGATGATATATACTATTTTATCAATTGAAAACCCCTGTAAGATTTATAAATGAGTTAAACAAAGCATCAAGGGCTGCGTATCTTTTATTAGCACGAATATAAAACCTATATTTTTTTTATATTCATGCTAATAAAATATACGCAGCCCTTGATGCTTTGTTTAACTCATTTATACTATTTTATATACAAATTATTATTTACATATTTTAAATATTAATGATATTGAAAGAAGAAGAAAATAAATAGTACCTTCTTTGTGTGTTATAAACAATTTTTGAAAATATATATACGTGCATATTTAAATAGATCATCTTTGCAAACACCTAAGAGCTGTATACGTGTTCTCTCACAATATATTTAGATAAAAAACATATTCGAAAGTAATATCCTAACTATTATAACCATTTCTAACCACTGCTACAATAAATAAAATGTCTTATATTAACCGTAAAAGCCTTTTAACCAAGTAGGGGCCTCTAATAAGCTGTCCATTTACTCCCCACTAAGAGACTTGAAAAGCTTACGTCCATGCTAATAAATAACGGATCATCAGAAGAGAAGAAGTTCTTGATCAATTATTTGTCCACATTATTCCTAGTGATCCATCATTGGGTATTTTTTATACAATGGCTTAACTTGGGTGTTGCCATATTAGGTTGGTACTTGACGTCATGTATACAGTACCTTTCTATTGATTAGCTTCTTGGATATTTCTATTAACGTGCGAGATATTGTACTATGAGGTTAATATAAATATATTATAAATTTATAAATGTATGTAATTCTACTGTCCTAAAAGCTTATGTTTATAGTTCATCTAAAATACCCATTCCAAGAGTCTAGCATCAGTATCACTATAAAAGGAAGTTCCAAAAATGCAATATAACAGCGGTATGGTAGATTAAACTGGCGAAACCGCTGGGAGGGTTCACCACTGATGAGCCAGGCCCTCCCATTAATTTTTCCATTGCAGTAAGGGCAGTAGAAATTGGGTAATTTCAAAAAGAATCTTACGAGTTTAAAATAGTTTCGAATTTTGATAAATATATTCTAATAATAAAGATTTCTCCCTGCTTTTATATTTTAACTAAATTAATAAAAAATCAAGGGTTTGGTTTCTTTTTACAATTCTTTTTATTTCTCGAGCTTTCGGGCTAACATGCTCTTCAACACGGCGTGTTATGATTAGATAGAAGTAGTACTTCTGGTATCTCCATGTTGAAGAGCATGTAAGCCCGAAAACCCCTGAACACCTTCTGATAAACTGTCCATTAACTTCTGATCTAAGGGAAGAAAACCAACTTTACCTGACTAATACAAAACAAGTTGCTTGCAATAAAGACCAATACATCAAGTTTAATAGATTCTGCAGGATGTATATTTTGAGGCGAAAGTGTTGACTGTACATATTTCAAGCTACTACTTATAATTGCTATATGTAAAATTTGACATCGAACGTTTAATTTTAATGATTTCCAATGTTCAATTGTATTAACTGTATATAATTTAAAATATACACGCAATTATCCAAATTGTGGATATGGCGTGTCTCTCCCAACTGTTAAATAAAATAAATAAAATGTAAGCCCGAAACCTCGAGAAATAAAAGAATTATGAGAAGAAAGCAAGCCCTAGAATCCTTGGTGATTTAGTTAAAACAAATATTCCAACAGAAATTCCATGAATAACGAAGAAATGTTTATTATATTATTAGAACACGGGGTTTAAAACTTCACCGTTCTCTTACAGAGATGGAACTCTAGTTTCACAAAGTTTCACAAAAAATCCTCTCCTGATCGTGCAACTAAAAGTTGCTGATAGCTTGCGCCATCTATCGGTATAAATATAAACTATTCGTTGATTTTTTTTAATTATTCCATCATTGGCCAAATACCCATTCTTGATTAATCAAAAATGGGTATTTTAACCAATTCTGGAATAATTATAAATTAACAATTTGTTGATATTTATTCCGAGAGATGGCGCAAGCCATCAGGGTCTCAAGAGATGACATAATCCGTTTAAAAAAGCACCACAAACAAAATCATTCATATATTTATTGGATACATATTTTACAAGATATTTTAAACTTTTTATAATAGAAATATTTCTACATACTCATTTCAATACTTAAAATTATACCGCATAGGTTTCTTTTCCATGAAAAATCAATATTTATTTCAAAGAGAAATATTTACTATTTCTAACTTTTTTTGAATGAAGTAGGAGAGGGTGAAAATATGAAGAGTAATGGCGAACGGGAAAAATAAAAGTATCCAGGGGCGGGAATCGAACCCACAACCTTCTGCTTACCGGGCAGGTGCCATGTCCACTAGGCTACCCTGGACGTTATTTCTCCGTTCGCCATTACTCTTCATATTTTCACCCTCTCATACTTCATTCAAAAAAAGTTAGAAATAGTAAATATTTTTCTTTGAAATAAATATTGATTTTTCATGGAAAAGAAACTTATGCGGTATAATTTTAAGTATTGTTTATAATCACAAGCCGCAGTCCTTTATAATATACTCATTTCAATAAGAAAAATTCCAGTTTGAGGGCCTGGCTCATCCTTAATGAACCCTTCCAACAGTTCATTTACCTTCTATAGTTCCTTTCTACTAGTAAATAAATAAAACATCTTTGATAAAAACAATTAGAAAACGTTTAAGAATCAATCTATTAAAATGATTAATTAAAATATTTAAAACCTTTTTAAATAGGAGCCGTTGAAAATTTTACTACGATGAAAGATTTCATCACAAAAGGGAAAAAAAAGGCTTTGTAATTAATTGATAAATCCTTAAAGAAAATTATGCAAATATTCTGATTCTTTGTAATTAATAAAATTGAATTATTTATATAAGAAAGGTTGAATATATAGCACAGGGAGATTAAAATGTTTTAAAAAATTTAGTGATTGATTTGAACTTTAATAACAAAGGCTGTTTATAAACATTATTTTTCTTCTCTATTCCTCTGTGAGTAGTGTAGACAACAGGTTATTTTTGACTATTGACCGTTTGGTTTTTTGCCGGAAGGAAAATACGATCTCAAGAAGAAATGCTACCTCACTCGTTAAAATAAATTGGCTTTTTTTTACGGAGAAGATAGATTTTCGTTTTTTCAACATTGACCATAGTGACGTTTCTTTTGGTGATTTGACCACTGACCATTGTCAATGATATTTTTATCAACTGTATTCTCCTCTTCTTCCCCACATCATTCCCCTGGCTGCCCATGAACTTGTAACTGTATTATAACACTAATGTACCAATTTATACGTTCATAACTTTTCCTCAACTATCTGCTCACTCTAGTATCTATAACCTGTACATATCCGGGACTCACCTCTTGACTTGATCTCCTTACCAGACCCACCACTGAACCTTCTTAAGATGAGCCCGGAAAAGTCTTCAGATGGACTTGAGCGGGCGATGTAAGTGTAACCCGTCCACATTTTGGGCGGATGTTGATGTCTCCTCTTCTTCTTCCAGTCACCACATCTTCTGATATATTTTGAAGATAGAAATAACATGTCCTAGCCAAGAAAAAAGGGCATTTCCTTATCACATGAAAGTAGCTGATGGCTTGCACCATCTATCGGAATAAATATCAACTGTTCGTTCTTTTTTAATTATTCCAGAATTCTTCAAATACCGATTGATTAATCAAGAATGGGTGTTTAGATAATTCTGGAATAATTAAAAATCAACGAATAGTTGATATTTATTCCGATAGATGGCGCAAGCCATCAGCAACTTTCACGATAAGGAGACGCCCTTTTTTCTTTTCTTAATTTATGAACCTTATCCCAGTACAATATCACATCTGTACTATTTTTTCACATGTCCTAGGCAGTTAGCACATATAGTCTCATTTTCTTTATCAATTTGTCTTATTCAGCTCTTCTTCGCATTACTTTATTAGAAATGCTATCTGTCCATTTGGACATCTCTTCTTAAGTCAACATATAGATTGAATTATGAAAAAGGCATCTCCTTATCGTGCAACTGAAAGTTGCTGATGGCTTGCGCCATCTATCGGAATAAATATCAGCTATTCTCGTTGATTTCTAATTATTACAGAATTGGCAAATTACCCATTCTTGATTAATCAAGAAAAGCTAACCACGTACGCGTTTCGGGCTGTTGGCCCTCATCAGCGTGGTGTAGTTGTACCTCAACGACAAAAAAAAAAAACAAACTGGTCCTTCAGGCATCTTGAAAAATCATGAAACAGGTAGTTAGCTTTTCTTGATTAATCAAGAATGGGTAATTGGCCAATTCTGTAATAATTAGAAATCAACGAGAATAGTTGATATTTATTCCGATAGATGGCCGCAAGCCATCAACAACTTTCAGTTGCACGATAAGGAGATGCCTTTTTAATAATTTATGCACCTTATCCCAGTACAATATCACATTTGTACTATTTTTTCACATAGATTGAAGTTTATCTTTTCTTCAATCTCACTCTCCTAGTACCTATGCTCCCTTCGTACACTATCAATATCCAAACCTGAGTTTTGATGAATCTATTTGAGTTATCATGATAAAACACAATTTTGATTATAGATTATAAACACAAAGTGATAAGACTAAATCCAAATAGTTTGTAACGTTTCAGTAAGAGCGTTGTTTCCATCATCAGACAAAAGTACTGATCTACCCTCGATTCACATAGGTTTTGATGAATCTATTTGAGTTATCATGATAAGACACAAATAGGATTATAGATTATAAACACAGAGTAATAAAACCAGATCTAAATAAATAAGTTTGTAACGTTTCAGTAAAAGCGTTGTTACCACCATGAGACAAAAGTACTGAATCTACCATCGATTCACATAGGTTTTGATGAATCTATTTGAGTTATCATGATAAGACACAAATATGATTATAGATTATAAACACAGAGTAATAAAACCAAATCTAAATAAATAAGTTTGTAGCGTTTCAGTAAAAGCGTTGTTACCATCACAAAAGTGCTAAATCTGCCCTTTATTCACATAGATTTTGATAAATCTATTTGAGTTATTATGATAAGGAATAAATTGGATTATAGATTATAAACACAAGGTAATAAGACCAAATCCAAATAAATAGTGTGTGACGTTTCAGTAAGAGGGTTGTTTCCATCATCAGACAAAAGCGATGAATCTGTACTTGATTCAGCACTTTTGTCTGAAGATGGTGTTGTGATATATGCTAAATAACCTATAATAATGTTGCGTAGTGTATTTATTATTGACTATGTAAAACCATGGCATTTGTCAATTGTTTTAACTCTATGTAAAATATTTCCTTTTTACCTCATCTTTCTATTTTGTATAAAAGGAAATTACTGGATTAAATAAATATATGTTCAACTTGTAAAGCTGGAACGATGCATAGCTCAATCGAGAATAATATTTACAGTCTTAAAAAAAAAAAAACACGTTCTGACGTTTTAGGCCAAAAACCTAATATATACACTGTATGACAAGGAAATTACTGAAGAACTCCCACATTACCTGTTTAATTGTACAGCCATCGATGAAGAAAGGAAGGCCCTATATCAACAAATTAAATGTACCAACATTTCACCCTACGTATTGCTTTCAAAAATATCAGCAAACAAATCTAAGGCAATAGCTTATTATAATTTTTTTTAGATCATCATTATGTAAGGACCAGTCAAAAAGTGAATGACTTTGAGACGAAGAGTAAAGCCAGTTCAATTTCTATTTCACTACCTATGTAAATAACACAAGATGATTATTACCTTACCCAATTGGGAGAATCTGTATGGGGCATGTCCCTAATAAAGGCTTTGTGTGTATGTGTGTAAAGCTGGAACGAATCTTATTCTGATAACACCTAACTATTGCAACAAATGGTAACTACGCGTCTTACTGAAACGTCACACACTATTTATTTGGATTTGGTCTTATTACTTTGTGTTTATTTTAGATATCCTTTCTCGTTGGGCGTCACTTATTATCATCCTTTACTTCTGTAGATCTCTAAATGATTTATTTATGATTTTTAATCATTCGGTGCGCATCACATCCTTACTTCCCCGAGATGGAGCATTTTAAAACTCCTTTTATATTACAGTAAAACCTCCAATTACATCTGATAATCAACCACCACCCTTGTAAAGTAAAATATGACCTGAAGTAACTCAACTTCTAATAAGAGACCATATCCAGGAAAGAACCTGTAGTACCCTTTTATAAAAGGAAATACACTCATGAACAAAACTTAAGACAGTTGTGCCTTTTATCATGTATATCGCGATACAGACAATAATATAATGCAATAACACGCCATCTATGTATAGCAAATTAAGACGCGAATTTTTCTTTCACCAATGAATCAACTTTCTGTCTTTACTGCGATAATAACAGCGGTCTGGTAGATTAAATTGGCGAAACCGCTGAGAGGGTTTTACCATTGATGAGCCAAGCCCTCCCAATATATTTTCATCGCAGTAAAGACTGTAGAAATTTGATTTATGTGTGAAAGAAACATTCACGACTTAATGTTTTCATTTGTTATTAAGACAATAACTCTGAAAGATATTTGATACACAGTGACCTTTATTGGAGACACGAGATAAACAAGTGTGAACAAAATTACCTCCGTCTCCTTCAAAAAAAAAAAAAAAAAGACGACTGACGACATTAAAAACTTTTTATATAAGTTTTGTCCATGAGTGCAAATATATGAGCCGTTCTTGAATTATTTATCGAACTTTCGATGAATTACCTTTCTCAGAGGATTGTAGTGACAGTTAGTCTCCGATATTTTTGGGAAATTTAACTAAAAAAAAAAAAAACGGCTGATGTAGGTATAATCTTTTATAAGCAAACTCCCAACTAGAGCAAGTGAGTTTCCCAAGTAATGGTTTACAGACAGTCTCGATGTTGGTGGTTTTAACTGTACTATATTTAACTTAGAAAGGATATATTTATCTCAGATATGTCCTTAATTTCTTAAGATCCACATAGGAGACCTGAATATCTATGTAGTTACCATGGCAACTAGTCGAGTAATATTTGAACAAAAATTGACCAAAATATACTCTAGGACACACATGCAGATCAATGTTGCCCAATAGCATTTTATATTTAAATTATCCAACCCTCATCTTTTATTCATTCACAAAAAAATAAAAAAGTTTTTGTGTTAAAGGTCTCGCGAAATCTCTCTAAAAGATAGAGAGAAAAAAAGGAATAAATCGGTCAAATACTAAATTTTCTTTTTTTTTTTCACAGATTCAAGTCCTATTCGTGAAGATTTGGTGTTTGGATTGTGAAAAACAGAAAATTGGATTTGAAAAAAAAAAATCGTTTGGATA